TATCTTGCTGTTCACAAACGACGAATTCATGTGTGGTCATTCGATTTCATTAATATTTAATTGAGTAGTTTTTAAATTCTATTTCATTATATACGATTACAAGTAGTTTTTAAAAAAAATCAAAATAAACCGTGAATAATTTATTGATCACGTTGCATAACTGCTGCAAAGTAATAGATAAAAGAAATTGTAGATAGAATATACATGATAACCAAACAGAACACATTATCGAACAAAAATGTTGCGGCCACTGATATCAGGTTTACGACTGTGTAAATAACAATTTACAGGTTTTCACTTACAGAACAATATGTGAAAAGGTCTGCTCGTTTTCTTCGCGCGTTTCTCGGCTCGCGACAATATCCAGTTGACCGTTCCACGAGATACATAAGTGACTTGGCTTACACAGACTCGAGGGTGTTCACTTTCGATGGGTGGACAAACTGGAGCGTGGCGACGGACACACAGCATCCTTGTTCGTTTCTTGTCGAGAATTTGTGACCGCCTCGTGAAATGCCTTGGGCGCAATTCGAAAGATATTACGAACATTGTGGCGAAGAATTTTGATCAGAAAACAGAGTATGTGAGAAAATACTATACAGGTCGATTTTTAGATTTCTGTAGCTCGAAATTTCTTTTTCTTGCGTTAGAATTCTAAATTCTGATAGAAAGAGAATTAGACAATTAACGATCGTACAAACTTCACTCGTAGGATCGTGATCGCATCAAATTTACAAGCCATAAAGCGTATCCTGTTATAAGTCTCATCGATAGAGGAATAAAAGAAAAACGAAGAATGGATATAACGGGACGTAACGCGTTGCGGCTGTATACGTTTCCTTTCCGTCGAATCAATCGGCGGTCTATCGATTAGCTGAACGGTGCAGATCGAACCTTTACAGTCATTAAAACGATTCGATAAAATCCAGCAGCACGAAAGTATGTTCGTTCGTGGCGAAGCAAGGTGTGACGATCGTAAAATCGATAAAAGGAATAGCAATTATCGCGGTAGAATTTGCTTCGAGCAAATGGAAGAGGAAAAAATAGCTGAGAAGTAGTTAGAAGGACGTTTCGAGATACGCGTAATTAAAGATTCTGCGATAAAATCTTTGAATTTTGATTGGAACAGAGCCACTCGAAATTGTGAGAAATCTTTGACATTAGAATATTCGATTAGAGGTAGCGAAGATTAGAGCCGAAGAGTTTTCCTCTTGTTTTATAAAATAGATATTAATTATTTTCTTTATCTGTCTTGATCAGATCGCATTCTTCTGTAAAACCGTGAATACATCCGCGAGTTGTGCCCATGAAACGATTCTCTTCCTCCTTTGTTCGCGATGCAATAAGAAACGATCTTGGCTGCGATCGATACCGGAGTCAAGGGAACGAAAAACAACGCGGACGATGAAGAAAAAAAGCAAAACGAGCCCGTGCCGTTCGATTCTACTCGGCCATTAGGGCACACACAGCATCCTTACGAGCCCATTCCGGGGCAGGCTTGCTTGCGGTTTCGCGACCGCGGGGGTTAGGTGGATACCACCGTCGATGAGAATCTCGTTGCCACGATATCGTATTCACCGTGGCGGAGCCCGCTTAACGTATCCTCCATTTTCTCCTTGTTATAACTTATTCCCGATCGGTTTCGACCTCGCAATCTTCACTCAAGTTTCATCCGCTCGGCTACATCGTCGCGAACTTTACCAGCGATAGATCACGCTGAGACGTCTCCTAGATCGCGGCTTCGTGATCCTGTTGAAGGCGGATGACGAGAACCGTGCCGTTATGAGAGCCTTGTGTATAGAGGGTGTTTCAGGTCAGATGATACAACCGGGCAGGGGTTGATTGTATAATCCGAAAAAAGAATACATTTTATTAATTTGAGCTTTCGTTTTCGAAAAAAGCATTAAAAAATTGTATTTCTCTTTATATTAGGATAAAATTAATGTATAAATAATTTGCCGTTGACTTCTTCCATAAATTCCAATTCATTCTCGAGATATGTCAAAAATACGGTTTTTCGGGGTAACATTTGATGGTGGTTTCCAACCCCTAAATGAACGAATTAACATGTATAAAATAATATGCCTGTAACATTTTTTGATGTACTATAACATATCAGAGAACGGAGAAAATCGGTGAGATATACCTCGGGTACTTTTTCTTGTGAGTGCGCATGTACTAGATGAATTTTCGAATTTAGTTTTCTCAAAAACGAAAAAAATTTTTTGCTTATAGAATCACCCTCTGCCCGGCTATCGAGTAGCTTAAAAACGCACCATTGCACGGTGTTTTAAATAAATAATAAGCTTGTTAACTGACCGAGTTAACAGCCCTACTATATAATTCATGTATTTTCATTCCACTATATCAGCATAGAAAAGAAATATTAAAAATCATAATTTTTCAATCTTCATGAGTAACAATATTGATTCGTTGTAGAACGAATGATTCATAAAGAATCAAAAATCCATAAAGGAACGAGAGGCAAAGAGATAACGATGAGTTTGTAGAAAATCGCGTAGCCTTAAGGCTCGATTCCGCAAGAATCGTGGCTGGATTAGAAGCGGGTTCGCGCAATTCAGAGTCTAATCGCGTGGTCGAAGACGTGGTTGTAATAACAAATCTCCGCAGGCCACGCCTATTTACCATTATCATTGGCTAGAGTATAGGATAAGAAGCGAAATAGAAATGGTCGGGTTAGTCTCGTGATCGCGATCGTAACGTTGGATCCAGCGACACGCAATTGGCAACGTGATTTTCTGATAATCGGTGCTCGCATTTATTTCTGCTTTTCTCCGTCAAATTGTTTCCTGCTCGACTGCTATATTCTCTGAATTCGAACGTTTATAAAATTTGGTAAAAATTTTGTACTATAGTTAAGCAATGTTAGATACTCGACACTTTTAACCCTCGGACGTTGGATCATGGAAAGAACGATTAAAGCAGGCTTTGTTGTTCAAGGGTTAATAAATCTAAGAGGCTTAGGTTGCTTAAAAAAGAATTATAATTACATTGCTAGATACGTTTTTAATATTTATAGAAAAATCCTTGAAGCTTTAACTCTGCAAGGATGACAGACTTTATCAAATCCATAATAGTTGTATCTGGTTTAATATAATACAATGAGTTAGTTCGCTTTAATGACAGACAGTCATTGCTTTTACATCGTTAGATAAAATTATGACTGTCATTATCGTGCTTATAAGATCAGCTATTAAAGTGTATCATAAAATAGAGAAGGAAACCGGCTCGGCAAGAACATCTCTGGTTGCATCTACTTTTTTCTAAACGAATCGTTCTTTTTTTGTGTTAATCGAACTTAATTAACCTACTTTTTCTCGTATCGCTCGACAGAGAAAAAAAAGGGAAACAAGGATATGGAGTATCATTAATCATGTTCCTATACTTAGAAGCGATCAAGGAAGGAGCTTAGAAAATATTAATCGTTTTGCATCGACGCGACGTTGTGTCGAAGGTTTAATGGGTTCCAACATTGCAAGGAATTAATGACACGTGACAAGGTGCTATTGAAAATCTCGAAACGATTTTCAATTGATTGTTCTCTGATTTGAGGGCCCATTAATACGCGATATTCTACGGATTTTATAATTATAACAGTAAAATTGCTAATTACATTCAGTGAGGTAAACAAGTATGATGGCCATCAAGATGCAATAAATTAATTCAGTTGGAGAACACTTACTCGTTCGTATAAATAATTGGCATCGTTATACGACTATTCTAGTCTGTTATAACTTTATTATTCACTTAACTGTTTATTAAATGATCTAAAAACAAATGTCAACAGAATAATATCATAGGAGATGTCTAATAAAATTTAATTTATATTTCGTGATACATTATTCAATGAGTACTTATCGTAAAGTATAATAGATTCTATAATAAGTGAAATTGGATTATAAAATGGATTATAAAATAATAATTGAACGTGTTAAAATCTTGAAAAAAAAAGTATGTATAAGTTATTTAACCCACAAGACCTATGGAATGGATTAACTTTAAAAACACCAAAGGGGAGGAGAGTTGTTCGAGCTTAGCAGTTAAAAAATATTGAAAATATATTACTTTCTTGCCTAAAACATTTGTAAAAAGTTACTTGTTTTTACTTACACCTTCAAAATTAGCGCTGAATAAGTGATTTTGTATTAGTAAAGATATTATTTAAGAAAGCAAACGCTAGAAATGAATTGTTATTCGAGACGTTTCATTCATAAATCGGTTTAAAATACATTAATTTCTCGTGGAATCCGAAATCGTAAGATGAGCAGTCGAGGCAAACGACAAGAACGTTCTCGCGAGAAAATCGAGCGGAGATAAGCGGATACAGGTAGGCCGGGTCGTCGGGGGACGGTGCCATTTGTACAGCAATATATTATCCAAGCCATTCCGTCGTATCGTGCAGGTTGGATGGCCTTTACCATCAGGGATATTGTGCGGCACCCATACGTGGCCACATATTGCATGACACGGCCACCGCTATCTGCATCCGGCAGAGACACCCTTACAACAGACGTGAAAATATGCTCAAAGATTTCTCCGGGGAACGTCAATGCGTCTCTCATCCCCGTCCGCGTATTCAAAGATGCCTCGCATTATCGAGCAATCCTTCACTAATCTCAAAAATATATCTTCCTCGTGTTCGACGATCCTGTTTGCCACGCGAATAGATTCTTGCATACGTTTGCACATCTTTCTAACATTTCTGACAGATTTTGAAAGTTGAAACTAATTTTTTGTTTGATAACGGAATTGTAAGTAATTATTTTAAATAGGTCCTTGAATTTATAGTTTCTGTCATGAGACAAAAAAAATATTAATTGAAAAATAATGAAAAATTCAGATCTTTTAAGTTCTAATACCTATCATACTTATCAGCTAAATTAGTATGCAATAATATATTGCAATGTTTTCTAATGCAACCCTCAAAGAGTAAATACACAGCAACTTATACAGGGTTAAAATAAGAAAAGAATTTGATGTGAATTGTTGAAAGTTTTATCGAGCAATATTTTTATTTTATCACAAAAATTAATGCGTCAAAAAGAGTATAATAATTTTTAAGTGAAACAGGGAAAGGCATTGCAACCTTTAAATTTCAGTTTTCCCCCGGGGTAGTTTCCAACAACTGCAATTTCCAAGCATCACAGTGAATTTTATCTGCTCGTATATCTTGTTTATAGACCCTACTGATTCTATGTCTATTTTTATTCCAGTAACACATTGTAAATCACGAGAAACGCGGTGTGTTCCACTTTTATAGAAGCTCGAACCGCGTCGTTCATTCTCCTCGAAATTCCGTCGCTTACGTCACGATATATCGAGCAACCTTCTTGTAACATGCTCGACGTATCTCCCCTTGTATCCTGACACGGGAATGCGTTGAACGAGTTCGTTAATCATTTTTCTTTTTTGGCCATTCCGTTGCTCCTTCTCTCTTATTGGACACGGTTGCTTGCTGTTTTCGGCAGTGATCTCATAATTACACACGTGGGTGGCACCTCGCGTCGATCCTTCTTCCATCGTCGCTTCGCTTTTCGAAATCTTCGTCATCGATTCAAAGGTTGGAACCACTTTTAATAATCATTGAAATATTTCAGTCATTTTTGTTTTAAATTTCAGTACCTTTAAATAGAAAGAAAATTGAAATTAATATTGAAAAAATAAGCACTATTGATAGACTTCCACTGGGTGAAGTATTAATTATTTCTTATAAATATTATCAAACTCCAAACAAGTAAGTACCTGCCAAATTAGGATTAACACCCATTGCTGCGAGTCATTACAGCGAGGGTGTAAGAGATTCTATCGCACCACCCTATAAATTCGTCGATACTATGGTTAACGTCGGGAGTGGAGGAAATTTATAGGGTGACCGTTTAACGGGCAGAGTTTCGTAGCCAAAGGAATCACTGAGAATGTTCGATTTAAGAAAAAGGAGCAGACTGGTCGCTTTGTAGGAAGCAGGATCAGAATACGATCCGTCCAGGTTGGACAGGTGCGCGTAAAGTGTAGGAAGGGGAAAAAAGAGGTGATCTGTCTTGGTATGCCGGAGGGAGCAGCCTCCTCTGGAAGCTTCGGATCCAAGGTCCGTTGTTGCCAGTTGCTATCCATCTGACCTGAATATTTTTACTCGTTCGAGTCTGATATTGATCGGTGTGATAACAAAAGACGGTGTACCTCGCGAAACGTCAATTGTTTTCAGCTGTGATATGAATGGAGGGATACGAAGTGGATGGATTAAGATAAAAGGTGATTTAAAAATGTGGAAGATTCTTAAGAAGATGTTGAAGTTGTAACGATTGAAGTATTGTAGAGTCTGATACAAAAGTAATGAGACTATGTTTAACCTCGGATGGCGGACCAGGTAGAGAGCCATAATTTTAATTTTAATTTTTACTAAGGATAGCCTATCAACTAAACCAGCTGTAAGATTTACGAACGACGAAAGTTTTGCGAGAAGACATTTCCAGAAAATCGACAGGATAATAACAATGATGTAACCATCTTTGAATGGACGCGTAATTCACCAGCGATTATGGTTCAATTATTTCGCCGTAAATCCGCGGTCGAGGCGATTACTGCCGTCTGGTTTGTTGGTTTTTGCACGAATATTAAATCGCGGCAATAGCGAACACGTAGCAACACAACAGCGTGTGTTCTAAGCGAGTTTATTGCAGTTTAAATTATATAGCGGTGGCAACCATTGCGAGCAAAGCATTCTTTCTTAATGAGCGACTTATTTCGCGTTCGCCGTTGCTCATATTTGGGTTAACGTATGGAGGAATGTTCTGAGCAGGCATACGCGATTCTGTCACAGGATGCCGACATTTTTTCCCTCGGTGTGAACGTGTTATTCATAAAAGTAGTTTGAGAAAGAGAATGGGGAGATCAATTTCCTCGGAGAATATGAAGATGATTGATTTGAAGATTTAAGAAAGACGATCAAGGTATTGACGTCTCTCTTTGTATCTACGCACTCGTATAAGTCATCGATAGGCAACACGAGATGGAACAGGAGTGATTATATCAAACGATGAAACTGCTAAATTAGAAATCTAATGGACTTAAGATTCTAGAGAGACATGGAAACTCTCAGAACCCTAGATGATCTATAAGCAATGATTGTATTAATCATGTGTAAGAATCAAGTAGCCGACGTGCTACTTTCCTTTAACCCTTTCGCTACTATGAGCAACCATGGTCATTTAACAGAAAGTATTTATATTTCAAAATACCAAGAATACAATGGAAGTGTTTTGTCATAAAGAAGAATTATTTGCATTCGGATATACGAGTACAATTTCCAGCAAAGACGACTGTACCTAAAGGGTTAGTACTTACACCGATCCATCAGAAATTCCTCCGAGCACCGATCACGAAAGTCAGACGCGACGTGTCTTTACTCGAACAGCAGGCTGATCGACCGGACCGCTGTTACGAATGATGGTAGCTGCGAGAAGAACGGAAGGGTGCAGGAAGGGTTGAAAGAAAAGAAAAAGAGGATCCAGATAGGCGTGCATGTGGCGAGAGGAGAGCGGTAAATCGTAGTTTCTCCTGGTCAGGTATCATCGATGCGTCTCGAACAGGAGACAACGACGAGACAAAGAGGCGGCAAGCGGTCCAGTCTGAGCCATGGTCGAACGAAGAGAGGAACGACGTAGTTGCGGGTACCCGAGAAGGGGAATCAGCCAAGAGTGGACAGCGCGGAGAGGAAAAGGAGCCGTGAGAGGAAAGCCGTGTAGAAGAGAAAGGGACGGCAGAGAGGACAGCTGGTATCGGGCGACGGTGTTCCGTGAAGGTGGACGAAGCTACGGGTGATGGTGATACCGATGGCATGGTCCGTGGTAGCGCCGGTGGTGGTGGGCAAAGATACCCGTGGTGGTGGTGGTCGAGAGGATGGCAGTAGTGGTGGCGGTCCAGCGGGGCATATCGTGCGGGCCCAACACTTGCTCTCCACGGAGGAGAGATTTTCCCCCTCCTGCCGCGGGCGGCGCCACTCGAGGAGATCCTTTCCTCTTTTCGCCTCTAGGCCATTCTCGAGAGGCGCGCGCGCGCGACAACGCGGTGTCGCACACGATCGGTCTTCGTCGACCTTCGGCCAATACGCGTGTTTCGATCACCATTTCCCCGGTTAACTATTTTCCAAAACCCACGAGACATACCGATCCGCACCGATCCGCACCGATCCTCCCCTGCATCGATCTCGCGATCTACGGCAACCTCCCCTGACACCTTCACCATCGGCACCCACGTGACACCGGCGACCACGTGACTGGGATCTTCGCGGTGGATCTTCGCGGCGGAACGTCAACATCCGTCGACACAGCCCGAGGGATCTCCGGTTCCGCTGCCTGCCGAAGCCGCTCTTCGCCCGAGGATGTTTCGACGTGGACGTTGATCGGTCGCGTTGCGTAACCGCGGACCGGCTGACAGTGTTTCCGTGTGGGGACGAAAAAAACGCGTGTGCTTGTTGTTGTGGTTGGTGCTATTGCGAAGAGGAGGAACGACGGATTCCTCCAGGCGATTCGTAAAGGCTGGAAAACCGATGAAGATGGAAATACATGAATGAATGAAAGGTGCGTCATAATTAGACGCGGAGGAGTAAACGACGTCTGAAGTAGCTTTTATGAAACTGTTCGATGATATCGAAGAACGAGTGGGAGGACTAACGACAGCTTTTTATCGTCGTAATAAACGAAAGTATTTCGTAAAGAAATTGAAATAGAAATCACGGTGCACTGGTTTACGAGTGTAATAGGATCGAGACTCGCCAAGCGGACAGGAAGTGTACCCGAGTCGATCGGTACAATCTCGTTACCAGTGGCAGTCGATTCGATTCTATGGTGAAATCGGGCCGAGACTAAGTTGAATGCGAGAACAGCAATCGGCAAAGAACAGTACAAACGATTTCGTGACTCTTACTACCTACGTTTTTTGCGTCGTTTCGAAACGTCCACGTTCGACTTTGATCAAAGAAGAAACTCTCGTATGGAATTTGATTAAGCGCTGAAATCGCATCGCGGTGTTTGCAACATACGATCATGGATAACTGTCGCGATGTTTTTAGTAAATTGCCGAGCGTCGAACGGGACTGTCCGGGTGGCAGGACTCGACGAAACCAGGCTGACCACGTCGTTCCGAGCGAATCACATCGATCCGTGTAATTTGGCGGGATTTAATTACAGTAAGGAAGCCGCGTTATTAAGTCCCGCAGTGAAGGGACCGAGCGAAAGAATTCAGGTTTCCTGCGTCATCGATCAGCGGAACCGGTGGAAAGCCGGAGACTTGAATGCCCGCACAGGCGCACGCCATGGGATCGTTTTACGTCCGCTTTTAGAGCTGTTCATCCTCGAAAAACACTTGAACAACTCTGCCGTTGTCGATCCTTTTTCACCGATGAATACCAATTAAAAATCCTCCCGATAAACTCCGATGAGGTCTGAATCTTCTTCATTGAATACCCGATACGATACTTGAATCCACAGAAATTGAACAGTTTCTCGAAACGAATCTATTGAACTTTAAATTTCTAAGTAATCGAAGATTCGAGTGATCAGAGACGATCAAAGTTTCGCATGAACATTGACGATCGCGAGCAGGTGTTCTTTGCAGCGTCGACGTCGTTGGGCTGCTCGAGCGGGGATCGAGAAGAAAAAGAGGGTCACGCTCGTTTGGAAAATTGGATGTGCTCCAGAGGGACTCTGTTTAGCGGCGAGAGGGACCGTTATCGAGGACAGGCGATTTATCAGCCCATTGTCTTCGGGCCGGTCGAGTGTGCTTTAGTTTCTGGCATCGTCGCGAACGTACGGTCCACGGAACCGGCACTTTTAACGAACGCAATTCTGATCGAATGTCAACGAAGCGGCGTGCACAGACGGCGATTAACAGTACACCAGGATCGTTCCACGAGTCGCGGTCGTAAAATACGACGAAATTACTGGATTTAACGAACGGGTGTAATTGCGAGCGAATGCCAACAAACCGGTGTGCTCGGATGGACAGAAAAGTGATCGACGACAAGTGGGTTTTCGTATCGTTTCGCGAAGTAGAGCTATAAAATATTTGTGTTCCTGGAACGAGACGAGGCTGAAGTGTTTATGGAGTTATTTGACGTAGCTTGCGAGTGAATCGTTTGAAGAGGAACGATAACGAAAGAGATTGAACGTCAAACAAAGACTCTATGAACGTGCATCCGTACTCACTCGAACAGTGGTGGTGCTTCGTTGCCACCTTTCGGCAAACGACACAGAGTATCCCGTCGAAGACGAGACTCGACTGTCCGCGAATTCTGGTGATCGTGAACGAGCAAGCATCTGTGCCGGGTATAGCAAAAGTGGCTCATCATGTCGGTGATGGAGGCCGGTGAAGCCGACAGGACGACTATGTCACCGCTGGACGAAGTCGTGTCCCCGACGAGCGTCGAGTCGGAACTGATGGTCACCGACATGTTGGACGAGCACGAGACCACGCTGAACGAGCACAGGAACGGCAAGCGTAAGAGAGACACGGACGGCGAGGAACTGACACCCAGGAAGCTGCCCTCACTCACGAGGAACAACAACGACGTGGGTTTCGTCCTCGAAGAAAGCGCCGACGACGATCTTCACGAGGATAGGGATGACGTAAGTTTATACTTAACTGTTCATTCGAAGTGGAAAAATTTCACGAAAGTATTTGAATGGTTATCTTGAATTAATTGAAAGAAAATTTTAGACGATCGTTGGGACAGTCATAGATACTATATCAAAAGTAACGATTATATGTGAAAAATAGTATCATTTAAATGGGCTATTGAGGTTCTTTGGGCAAGAAGTTATTCAATTTCTAAAAATAATTCTATCGAGTCAAATCGCATCATCTTTGGGGACTAATTAACACTACCATCCTCGTGTCCTTATTTTCATAATAAGTATCTATTATTTAATTAAAATTCTAGAAGATTATGATTGACAATCGTGAAACATAAAAATATTCTGAAGGCACTATTGAAAAAACCCCTAATCAAATTGAAGACACCGTTTTAAGTATATCCTATTGAATCGAAGCTGAAGTGAATAACACTTAACAGCATCGAAGAAACATTAATTGCAGGTTATATCCGTGGTAGAGGCAATCTGAACAACGCGAAAATCAAATGTCCGATGCCATATCACGAAACCTGAGAATACACCAGCGTTCAATGACATTTATCCTCTTTTAAAGCGTACTCCATAACCCTGTTCCACGGACGGGTCTCAAACTACGTTGCGTAGAAACTAAATTCTCACGTGGCAAGTGAAAGAGCAGCTGTCGGTTAAAGTGTCCGCCTACGTATGGTTATACCTGTTTCACTGTCGTGAACGTATTCAACTTTGACATACGGCAACAAATCAGGTGCCTGAAATTCAGGACCGCAATAAAACGAAACTGTTAGAGACTCGTCTCTGAGATCTAGGAACATAGATGCACGAATTCTACTGTGTTTAGTTAGCACTTTTTCGTTGACACGATTCCAAATCAGGAATCATAATCCGTAATTCTTAGTAACATGAATATAATCGTATATTTTGTATTCGGTTGCATCGTACGTTGCGTTTAAATAATCTTTTTCAAATTTTTAAAGCTAATAAAAAGAAACTTTACTTAACATCGGTTAACAACCGTAGTTAGAATAATTGATCCTCAGGTTTGCGATAAAAATATTGCGAAATTAAAAATTTAAATCCTATTAAACAAAATTATCTCCCAGTATACGAAGACACGCATAATTGTTGTACCGTAAAATGAAACTCAAACCTGTTATCAAATTTCTTCTGCGGTATTATGAAGCATGTATCATAGTGCGTACCACAATGTTATAATTGCTGTCATAAAACCGCACGCGAATGTTGCTTTTATCTATTAAATCCTCTCCACGATGCAGAAATATTAATAAGAAAAATGAATATTAAACATGAATATTAAAAAATTAGCCATCTCTTTAATAACTCTATAAGTGCCCCTTATCCTAAATCGTTTCACAAGAAACAATTTACAAACGTGTGTACATTTTGCCTTGGATTTCTAACGACAATCTAATAAAATAAATGAATATTGACACTGATGCATTATCAAAATTTAGTCGTCCATGCATTTATGGACACATGGACAAATGTATGTAAAATATACTAACCGTGTTCTAGGTATAATAAAATAGAATAAAATATCAAGAAAATATAAAATTTACATATTTAAATAACAATTGCAGTATTATTGCATAAATATCCGCATTCTAGAAATGATTGCAACGAAAGGGTTAATTTTCTAATAACAGGTTGAATGTAGAGAAATCGTAGGTACCTCCTACTAGCAAAACGAGGCGAAAGGCGATTTTCTCGCGCGGTATCAGCAGGAAACGCGGTTACTGGAATCTCTAATGGTGTTCGAGGGAGATCGGCATCCATCGGTGGCCAGCAGGTACAGGATAGCGCGTGGTCGCGTCTCAGGATCGCGCGTAGATTTTTCCTGAAACCCGTTCCGTGACCTCGCGTATGCTCAGCCTGATATCTTACAACAATCCTGCCTACGCGCGCCTTGTGTCCCCGTTTTCGAGACTGGACACACCGCTTCCCGCACGAACGAAGCCGAACGCGAGAGGAGGAGCACCCTGATCCGGCTATCTCGAGCGCGAACGCGATCCAGAGATGTTTCTTGTAGCAATTAGGCCGTTCGTACCGCGAGCGGTCCGCTTCGGATCCAGATAATAAATTATTCTTGTTCGTCGTTCCGACGCGATCGATCAATCGTGTCACCCTCGTATTTTTCCTCTATCTTTTAATTCTGTGATATCGTAATGTTTTATACCGACTTCCGCAAACGCCTACTGTATTGTGAAAAAAAGGCGACCAATGTTTCGACCAGGGACTTAAAATCGAAATCATTTTAATATCGGTATAATGCTAATAAAGTTACACCGAAACCGATATATTTACTACCCAAATAGATGAAAACTCAAAATATTAGAGTTTTTTCTTTGATGACATTGTACAGAATTATTGGACTTAAGTTTAAAATTTCTGTTTGAAGAAAGTGTTAAAAGTATTTGTAAATAGGAAAATCGGAAAAATTATCGATAAATATATCGGTATGATGTCATACCGGTATTTCGATATTTTGGTTTCTATAAGGATTTTGAAGGTGCAACCGACTGGTATTTTCAGTTTCGGTATAAGTACCTGGTTGTGACTATAGAGAGTTTCTCGGTGCAAAGTCAGTGGAAAGTTGGAAGAAACACCGGAAAGGGTAATGGGTGAATATCGGTCCGGTGTCAGGGTTTCAGTGTAAGGTTGCGGGCAATTTATTAACACACAATCCTGAGATGTGTCGACGTTGCAATTCTACGTGCACAGCGGCCCGGTGCAACATGCTTGCTTCAGTGCCAATTCCAGGACCCGTAGAATAACATCGAGGATTCCATTAGCCGTATTTCCAGTAGATGCGCACGTAAGAAACGTTCGTGGTCTTACCCGGCTAGATCCTTCGAATTTACAGCTTCCTATCCGGGTACTTACCACGAAGCTCAGCTTTCTCGTTTTCGAACGAAACTCATTCTGAATCCTGAATTTACTTCTCAGTTTAATTTCGATACTTTCGAGATTTCAGAAACGGTATTTATTAAAATACTTCTAAACATCAAGTGAAATCCAAAAATAAATCCGTTTTAATGCGACGAAATAAAACTCGTATGATAAGTACGATACTCCTATAAAGGCCCCAGTGAATTGTAACCCATAAAATGTAAATCGGTGTCACAGATGGAACAAACACACGGATGTGTGGGCGATAGAAGCGGTTTACGAGACGTAAAATTCAGAAACGTTTCAAAAACTCGCGATCTCACCCGATAAGCAGCTGAATTCGAAAGGTTCAATTGTTTTAAATGGTCGTTAAGTCTATCCGATATCTGTCTCAATTTTTTTATTATTGAATGCACTATGGAACAGAAGATTTTTTTGTGGAAGTTTCTTTTTTAGAAATAGATAAGCTGGAGGTACGAAAGGTTGAAAATTTGAAAACTAACCCTTAATAATTAAAGTTTCAATGTATATAAGAAATAATAGAAAAGTATTATTGTGAATAGCATTACTATTATAACAGTAATATAAAACACATAAAAAGTTTGAAATAAAAAAATTTAATTTAAAAAAATATTTTACAGAAGCTAAAAGTCACGCGGAGCATTCGAAAATGTGTTATAAAAAATTTGCAATTCTGATCGTGCGGATGCTATGATGTAGTGGATTAGCAAGTGGTTTTGTCACCCACGCGTTTATTACATACTGCTGTAGAATAAACAAAAATCCGTTGGTTTCCAACGAATTGAAGGCTAAGTGGGAAAACATTTGCCACACCTGTAATCTTCATAATCGGCCGCAATTTACACGCCGACGAAAACGATCGGTCAAGACAATTTGCCTGCGATTCCCGCGAATAGTTTAACGTCGCCGTATCCGGCCGTTTATCTACGATTTCATTGTATGTTTTCTTGCGGGAGTTCGCGTAAACTACCTCGATGAAGGATCTTCTAATGACTCAATCCTCCATTATTCGCGTGCAATATTTTACAAACAAATAAGCCACGTTTATTTATCGATTTCCTTGAAAGCTAACAAACAATTTTTCTTGGTAATCAAATTCTGGTAAACATTTTTGAATAATCGATTTTTGCAAATAAAATTGTGAAAGAAATACTTGCTTTCGATAACAGGTTCCTTGCTTTATGAATATTAATTAGGCCGCAAAAACTCGGCCATCGGGTTTGAATCGATTTAATAAAATTTAATCCGTGTAATTGGATCTTCTAATTAGTTAATCCGTTCGTTACGCTTCACACTTAAATGAAATGATTTTTTGTACACGAGAAAGCGACGGGAAATACTTATTGCTAATTGCAGATTTTAAGAAAATTATTAGCAAGATTTCATTAATTTATTTTAGCAGGAAAAAGATAAAATCACTTTTTCATTGACAAGATTACATAGATTAGTTACATCAGCGTGACAATTTTTACTAATAAATAATACAATAAAACAGAATTATAGAAAACGGGTTTAAAATTGCAAAATGAAATCATTTGTATCTTTCAACCTTTAATGATATAAATAGTTTCTGATCTCAGATTCTATTTTTTACCAAATAGAACTACCAACTACTAGCAACGATAATAAATAGAAAGACATCAGGTTTACCAATTACTGCAATTAGCAATTAATATGTTTAACTAATAGTTACTCATTCAAACACTGATATCATCAACAATTAACTAATTTTAAATAGTTATCTCTTATTCATTCAAATAGTGACGATCGTCAATGCTTTTTGAAAAATACAGATTTTCAAGATCTTTAATTTCAAACTTTTATTTTTCAATTTCAATATCATGATTATTTACGTATTCCCATTTTTAAAAACGTTTCCTATAAAATTATGCAGCAACTTAATCACTGATGTAGCAGAAATAAGCGGAAGTGTGCAATTAGTCCAATCAGTGATTACTTAAGCTACGTTATAATAATACCGGTATCGGGATAATCCGGAAATCGTGTATGCATTCACGGATTATCATTCAACAAATATTTTAATTACTACCTTCAATAGCCTCCGC